CCAGTTTAGAGTTACACAGGAGGTCTGAAGCTAATACTATTGTTCTTGCTCTGATGTTTGCAATGATACCTCACAAGTGTGGTGCGATCACAGTTTACATATGTGTGCAGGACTTATGTATGTGTTCACATTTGTATGTAAGCATGAGGGGAGGGCACACTTTAATTTTTTTCATTATTTTTATTATTTATTTGATTTGAAACTTTTATTTTTACACTGTCTTTTCACTTTTTAATCAACTTTATTGCTTTCACAAGGGATTAATAACATCCGATGTGAAACCATAGGTAATGGCAGGTCACCTTTATGGAGACTTGGGGTCTATTAGACCCCAAATCTCTCCTATTTGGGGGGGGGGGCCCAAGCCATTTTTTTTTTAATTTCATTTCAAAAACACATGCCAGACCCGAAGATACTTTTTAAATTTTTTTTAAATTATTTTTTTAATTGCTTCTATTCTTCTATTAGACCCCAAATCTCTCCTATTGTCTACTATGTAGCCAACCAGACACAGATCAGTTTGATCGGCTGCTTACCTGGTCAGGTAAACAAAGAGCCAAAACTGGAAGTGATGAGGGCACAATTCGCTAAAGCTTATCGCATGAGTTAAGTCAGTCACATGACCACATATCGCATGTGATACTGAAAATGTCAATTCACTATTGCTAGTATGCGATATTTACCGAAAATAGCGAAAACACTCGGTAAATACTGCATAAAGAGACCTTAAAGTCCATTCACAAAAGGAAAGAAATAATTAAATGCATTCGGTAATTAAGTAGTGGTCCAGGCATGCAGTATGTACTGGTATCTGTCAGTACTGTCATGGGTTATTAAGGAATGGATGGCCGCGAGTCCTTAACAACCTTAACAACCTATGAGTCATCAGCTGTCAGGCCCTTGTCCCCATCAAAATGGGGACAAGGTCTTTTGGGGCAGGAGCCCCCCTGCCCCAAAGCACCCCCCCCATGCTGAGGGCATGTGGCCTGGTAAGGTTCAGAGGGTGGCGGTCGCTCATCCTCCCCCCCTTTCCTGACCTGCTGGGCTGCATGCTCAGATAAGGGTTTGGTATGGATTGGGGGGGGGGGGGCCATGCCATGTTTTTTTAAATTTTGGTGTGGGGGTTCCCCTCAAGATCCATACCAGACCCAAAGATGCTGTTTTTTCAATTATTTTTTTAATTGCTGGCAATTCTCTCTTTTACATTCAGCTGTCAGTTGGGAGCCCCGCTGACAGCTGAAACATTAACACATGGTTTTCACTACTAAAATACCACATGACTTGATAAAATAACTCATGCAGCATAGTGAATTGTGCCCGAAATCCTTGTCACTTCTCGTTTCGGGGGTGACAGAGAGGAAGCGACAACATCACCTCCTTTCTCTCTCTGTGTAGTATGACTGGACAGGACAGCCTGGGAAAGGCAGTGGTGATGGGAAGGGGGGGACACCATTCCACCACCCGCAGAAGTGATCGAGTGGCTATGCAGAGAATTGCGGCCGAAAATGTTGATGCCGGTGCAGGCATCATACCGGTATAAGCATTTCAACCCGAGGATGTCACAAGATTAATGTGTCGCTGCAGTGACATATTAAACATTCATGAACATTTCCCATGTAATATCCATTTAAAGATCTTACACGTACATCAAATACCTGTTGATCTGTCAGAAATGCACTCAGTCCTGTTATGAGCTTACAATGCAGCATTTTTGGGAATTGAGTTATATCAGGTCTACTCAGTGTTTTTTTAATAACCAACTCACTCTGTAGTCCAAGATAATAACTAGGAGGACTAAATACTATCTTTAAGACAACATGGGCAGTGTATACAGAACACAGGACAGCTCTGAATTTCTGACATGATCAATAGGTATTTTCTGCAATTATCAACAGACATAACAAAATACTTCAGATTTTATATTTAACAGACTAAAAGAAAGTAAATAAGAGACATTCATTGTTAGAGTTTACATAGTAAGTGTATGCTATAAATAAATAGAAAAAAACACACTGAGGTTTGATGGTGTGCAAACTTTGCAACTAAACATAATTAGTCAGATTCAATTTCTTATGCTTTTGGATTAGCTAAAAGTCACAACAATGAAATAAAAATGAAAAGAGACGAATGCAAATTTCAGTTCATTACTGTGATTTGGAGATTCATCTGCACTTCTATTTATTAAACATGCAAGCATCCCTAAGACTCAGCGGTCCAGTTTTAGCATATCAACTACAGATACAGTATGATGGAGTAAGATTTCTTAGTCATTCCAATACTTAGTAACATAAGCTCATACCTATAGTCCAACATTAATCAAATGTCCACATGTAATCTAGTATGTAAATTTTTATTGTCTTATCGTACTTCAATTGTTTGAACGTGAAAGCAATATACCTCTTGCTGTAACAAGCATATCCAAGGCAAAGTAACAATGAAGATACCCTTGTTAGAGGGTACCCTGCTATGCCATCATACTTTTACAATGTTCCCCATAATAGGATATTGGTGTCTCCTGAAGATTTTTGCAAATGCAGAATATGCTATTTACATAAAGCTAAGCATGCCCCTAGGCCCCGGTGCTCTGGGTTGGTGTTAGGCTGTTCATAGATGCAGGAAGGAGCATGCCAGTTTGCTTCATGCCAGGAAGATTAAAAAAGAACTGAAGTCAAAACATTTTATTTTCATTCTGGATAGGGCAAGGGAGGGTTATAATCCCTATTTGTTTTTTTTTTGGCCATCTGTGGCCCATAGATTTCCCTTCATGTCCTGTCCCATACCCAAAACAAGAAATGAAAGGAAATCCCTCCAAAGCAAAGGAATCACTGGTTGTCACCTTCATTTTTTTCTGTTCTGGTGATAGCCCAAAACCTGGGATTTTCTTTTGCTTTCATTCTTGGTGATAATGATATATAGGACAAATAGAAAGGTGAATCTCCCTAATGGGGGGCAATCAGCAATACAAATCTGACAGGTGTTCTAATCTCTCTCTACTCTATCCAAAACTAAAAAAAGTTTTTCCTTATAATTTAGGATTTTTTTTAGGGGTCTGCAGCAACACACCAGGAGGAAGGCAAGCATTGTTAAAGGTGACATGGTGTAGCAAGGTGCCTGCTAGCTATCTGCAGGGTAACTTGGCTTTGCATCACCTTGTTACAATTTTACTTTAAGCAAGAAAAGAACATAGCATATGTAGACTTATAAGGCTGTTACAAAGTTTTACCTGTAAAAGAAAAAGCAGCCGTCTTTCCATTAGAGATTGACGTTGCAGCAGCAGGTCAAATAACACTCTACGCAATGATCAAGAATGGCAGCCAAAATAATATATAACTGTTAGTCTGCTACCCATAACTGAGTCAGAAAGACAGAAAGCAAGGAACAAAGCAATGAAAAACAGCTTCAAAGGAAAACTTACAAATGTGTTCTTGCTTCCACAAAATCATATTTTTTATCCACAAAAAAAAAAAGTTTGACAGTGTTTCAAGGGAAATAACCTCCCTATTGAAATGCTAAATGTTTTTACATAAGCCAGCTACTTCTGAAGTGCAAAAAGTTGGTTTGAATATAGTTTTATAAAATGTTGAACTATATTTATTCATACTAGTCTGTACAGTTTACCTTTATTTGAAAAACTAAAAGCAAAGAGAGGCCCCTTTTGATTGCAAAATGACCCATATACATTTAGAAAACAGGAATTGCTTCAAAACAGAAACTAAAGAAAACACAGCATACGGTCTACATTTTGCTTGGTGTTCAAAAGTTGTATTGTATACTAAAGGTGGGGATGCACTCAGAAAAACAGGTTCCACCATTCAATCTATATAGCAAGGCTGGACACATCTCCCACTGTTCCAACTGTATCTTGATAGCCAGCCCCTCCAGTTGTTAAAATACCCAGACAACCTCTGCAACTGACAAGATGCATGCCTTTTTTATCCAACAATTTTCTGCCGAGTTCCTTCAATTTTCCAATCTAGGCATAGCAGGTGGGAAGCTAGCAAAATTATAAACTTTTATCAACAGAGCTGGAAAAAGGCCTCCAATCTTCTGGGACAGGGTATATGGGGATGACTTCAACATAGTTTTGTTTGACAGTGTCCCAAACTTCTGTAGACAGCACTGTAACCTGGCTGGGGTTCTGCTTTAAGATCCAATGTGATAAGCTGGGAGACCTTTACAACTTTTTTATTACAGTCCCACTGAGGGAACTAAAACTAATATGTTGGCTTAATGGATTTAAGAACTTTTTTTTTACCAGGATATGGATGGAAAATACTGTGATAAAAAAGCATTTCACTACCACCATAAAGTCATGAGATTTTGTAAATAGCACTGGGTCTTTGAAAACTATCAATAGACTTTTGATATTTTCACTTCTTTATATCTTACATATATCTTATAGATCACATATACTCTTTCTGGTGAAAGGGATTATTAACAATAGCTATAAAAAACAGAAGAGTTGTATTCTGAAGAATCCAGCAGCGGATGTAGCTCTGCAAAATAACAAAGATTGGCTACAATGGAGTCCGTACTGGTAAGTATTATAAATGTATTTTAAAAGGCTACCTACAGTATGTTACTTTTAAGGAAGACTCCAGCCAACACAGTTTGCTCTTTAAGTTTTAGGCAAATTGTTGTTCCCAGAAGGAAGATCTTCACCCCAACCTCAATGTAACATTAGCTCTGTTGTGAGATGAACATCCTGATTTTTTTCTCAGTGCATTCTTCATTTTTACTATAGAAGAAACTAGCATTGTCACTGACTCCCTAATTGATTATTTGCAGTAATATATATATATATATATATATATATATATATATATATATATATATATACATACACATGAGGGACGTTCAAGTCAAACTGGGACTTTTCATTTTACAGGTATAAAAAGGGATGCTAGCCTGGAAGTATGCATTAGTAAGTGGCAAGTGTGTCCTATTACTGATAGGCGGCACACATGTTGCAGGCCAGTCCAGAGACCGTTAATCAAGATGACAGACAACAATGTTAGTGTGTGCATGGAACAGCATGTGGTGATGAAGTTTCTTGTGTACAAAGACGAAGTATGGGGATGAGATGCTCAACTGGAGTAAGACATTTGAATAGTGTAAACATTTCAAATATGAGCATACATACATACATCCGTCACTGATGATCCAGGCCGTGTTGGTTCCAAGCCCACAGCAGTCATTCCTGTGAACACTCAGCACATGGAAGCCTGATCCTGGATAATTGATGCATAACCTGACGTGAAATTGCACAAGAGACAAAGCTTTCTGTGGGAATGGTGATGAGACGCTCAGTTGCAGTAAGACATTTGAATGGTGTAAATGTTTAAAAAATGGCCATACATTCGTCAGTGACGATCCCGGCCATAGTGGTTCCCAACCCACAGTAGTCATTCCTGTGAATATTCAGCACATTGAACACCTGATCCTGAATCATCAACACATAACCTGTCGTAAAATTGCACAAGAGACAAATCTTTCTATGGGAATGTTGAACCTAATCATAGACGAATTGAAACAGGCTGTCCTAGAATGGTTCAGGCATTCTGACAAATCTTTCTATGCTGAAGCTTTCCAGGCATTGGTTAAATGCTGTGATAAGTGTATAAATGTAGCAGGGGAGTATGTAAAAAAAAAAAATAAATGCAGTTTCCACTCCTTTAAAATTGTTCTTTTAGTATATGAACTCAAAAGTCCTGGTTTGACTTGAATGCCCCTCATGTAAAACAACACTCCATAGATGTAAAACATTAAATTCAGCTCATAAAACCTATGGCTATCATAATAAGATCAGAGGCAGGGTTATCACATGTGTTATAATTTCTCATTCTCTCCCAAACTACGAGAAAAAAATAATTTGAGTTTGGTTCCACTTGAAACTACAATCAAAACAACCAGTGTCTGAGGGTTGATTCTTTATGTCTTGTACTGCCATTTTTGGCCAAAGTATTGTATCTACTTAAAGTTTAAATTCTCTTTTTATAAAAATTCCATACAGTTGCTAGTGTAGTTAAATGTATTTTGGCTCTTCTGTAGGCAGAGGAGCATGTGTTAATTGTGTTTAGGAGACTGGCCAGTGCTTCACAGGCTGTGGCCCTGGTACCTCCCCCTATCCTCTGGAATTTATTGGAAGTTTCCATAACATAGTGGGCAGAGGGACAGAGACTGCAGCCGGAATATTCATGGATCTTCCACCAATTCCTGGGAAGGCAGGCCTAGAAGGTGGGGAAGCGGCTTGTAAATATTCTGAAGCCTGGCAGAGTCCAGAGTCCTTTTGTCTGGAAGGACCTCCTGTGCTGGGAGCTCTGCCCCTGGGGCATAGAGGAGGAGAGGAGGAGAGGAGGAAGAGAGCTCCAGGACCTCACCCTGCTTAGGTCTCAGTTAGGCTTAGCTACAGATTCCTAGCCAGCAGCCACTCTAGATCCTGTGAGCTTATTAAAAGGGAGTACAGACCAGCCTTCACACCCTAAGGGGAGAAGAGGACAGTGAAGTGCAATACTTAACATGTCTGGGACCAAGTGTAGGTCAAGTGCAGTGCAAGACAGCCAGAAGCATGCTATTTATCTAACCTTGGGACTAGAGCAGCAGGTGCCTTGCAATACAGCCACGTGCTGTGTCTTTAACATTTAGAACTGTTATTCTTTATTGTCTGCACTACTACTCCCACAGCTGTGCAGAAACAGTTTGCAGTTTGGATTAGAGCAGCCAGGGACTTAGCAGGTCTTCAATTGCTTGTATATAGTGCTACAGTGTTTTTTCAGTTCCCAGGCACCCCCATTCCCCATCCAAGTTCATCTGTCCTAAAACAAACAGAAAAAAACAAAACCCCTAGTGCATGTGAATTACCTAGGGCAAGGGCTTCCCCTCCCAGAAGTACAGCTAATGCAGTGATTAAACTTTTATGTAGAAAGAGAAATATAACATAACAACCAAAACAGTCTATCAGGCCCAGCATTATTTAAGTAGAATAATTGTTCTTTCAGGAAAAATAACACAATTAAAATGAGTTTACAGAAGTAGAACTAAAATGTCCTTTCTGATTTTCCTGAGAAATCCTAAAATAGGATTAACTTGTAAAGCTATGTGTAGCTCCAGGCCAATTTAAAGAACTGTTATCAATTGTTGCATATGGCTGCGCCAGAGATAATTTCAGCAATATTTATTTTATTACTTTTTCAGAGTAATGGTTTTTGCTTGGATGTACATTGTGGTTTCTTTAGTTACAATGGAAAAAAGAAGTAAATGCCATTTTGTTTAATCTTAAATAATAAAGCTTTTTTCTTTAAAGCTCAACCCCAGGAAAAACTTTTACTTGAAGTTCTCAATGGACTGTAAAAGGGTACAAACCTTGGTTTGATTTCTACTGCAGTCTGTATCCCTGTTGCAGTGATTTTTTTTGTTTCCTGTCCCCCTGTCACAAGAGAGGGAATTGATGGGAAGTCGCTCCAACAGAGACACTGGCAGCAGGAAATAATAAGATTTTTGTAATTTTGTCCATTGAGGGACACAGAAATATAGTAATTATTAGACATTTTAGATGTATTACTATCTACGGGAGGTTGGGACACTGGCAAACAAAAAGCTATTATGCCAGCCCCTGTATAACCTACTACCCAAAATAAGGCCAATGACACAGGCCTGTGTCTCAATGGACAAAAGTATAAAAATAAAAGTAGTACAACTGAGGGGTGGGTAATAACCAGAGTGACTGAACAGATTTGTAAATCATATAACAAAGATTATCTAAAGCAATCAACACAGGAATGAAGGAAAGATGAATCAAGGTCAATCAGATACGGAAATTAGCACAACCCAGGGGGCTGGCATCAATGATCAATCTAGTGCTCCAAACCAGGACAGGTAATCGCCAGTAAAAGGGAAAGTGCTACCTGATGAGTGATGGGCCTAAATTAACAATATAAAGGACAACAAATAATGCACCATAAAGAAAACTGATAGAATAACAAACTACCCAAACAGGAAATGAAAACCTGGACTAAAAACAAGGGTGGTCAACAAAAGGAACTAGGATAAATGCCTAAGCCTATCAACCTAACATTTGACTTCAGGGAAAGGAAGCTTGGACAGACAAGACATGTCCATAAAAAGAGCTATCAGGATTACACTGAACATCCTAAACCCTTTATTTAAGGGAGAGGGAGTTCCATAATAAGGAACTAGGGGTACTAGTACTAAAACTAGGAATATTAGCTTAATAAAAAAAATAGGAGCAAGAAAGGAATGTAAGGAGACTTCCACAGAAGACCACAGTTTAGTCACAGAAGAGAATCTATCTAATAAATAAGTCCCATGAGGGCCTCTGGTCTTATACTATGACACTTAGGAGAATTCAGCACCAGGGTAAGAGTGTTCTGATTATTGACCCTTCAGGAAACCTAGCAATGGACATTTCCTTACAAGGAAGAAAGGAGGCACACTCACTTACAGAACTCCCACTCTTCACAGTAGGAAACAGCAGATGCAGGAATCCACAAACCAATGCCTTGACTCAAGGAAGAAAGCACAGTGAAACACAAGTAACACACCAAACCCTGTCTAATGTAGAGAACAGGCCACCCAGTCAGATACAGGGGGAGTGTCAGGGTGCTTAACGTGGTTTGCATGTTGAGCACACAGACAGGAGAATCCTGCCAGTAACTGACTCGCAAGCTGACACAGCTATGCATGTACACAGTTTGCGTATGTGTCGGCATACATGCCTGCATACACCCAATCTCAGGAATGGCACCAAGTGCCCTATTTAAGGGAAGGACTATTAACTGGAAATCACTCTTCAGCTACCTTGCGACTTGTGTTTCTGCGTTCCTGTTTCCTGAATACCTGTTGCTGAAAAGGCTTGCTCCTAGACCAAACTCTTCTGACCTCAGCTTATCTTGACAACGCTCTCCTGTTCTCCTGATCCTGACCTTGGCTTGTTGCTTGACCCACACTTTTTGTTGCTCCTCAGTGTATGGCTCTGGCCTGGCCACTGACTTTGTTCCTGCTGTTTGCGCATGTTGATGTCAGCTTGCCTCCTTAACATGTCCCTGATCCTTATGGCCACCTGCCTCTGATGGGACTCCTGCATAGTCTTCATACCACTGCATCCAAGCTCCATCTTATGGGTGCACCCTGCACCACTATGGGTCCACTGGCTGTTGACCACAGTTTCCTCCTGGTGTGTCTCCCACACTGCTGGCTCCAGTCCAAATACCATTTCTCCCTGCTACCTTTTACATTGGCATCCGTGCTATTTTGTGCCTTGCAACTCTGATTCCATATTCAGGAGGGCTCAGCCCAAAAGAAATAAGGGAAGCCCTCTTGTCACTTCAGCCTCCAACCAAGGTGTGTGACAGGGAGTTCTCAATTTTTTGCAAAGGTAATGATATAGCAAACCACTACATGAGATTCAGACTTGGGAAACTGTCTTTTCTGTAAAGACCAGATATAGGCAGTAGGCAGTAAGAGAAACCTCTTGAGATGGGGGATACATCACACCCTGCACAGAAATTGGCAAATAGTCAGCCGGACTGCTTGTTGACTATCCTTAATCAAGATCCTCTAATTCAGAGGCAGAAACTGAAAAAGGATTGAGGGATAGTACAGTAAAAAGGACCATGGTAAATGGATTTCCTCAACAATCCCATAAATTGCTGAAAGGTAAGGGACAAAGAACCACAATGCATGTAGGCAATAGAACCCTTGGCTTAAGCTGGCCATAGACCACTGAAAAATCTGATCAGTGTTTGGAAGTCTATGCTCGTTTGATCGACTTCTGTTGAAGAGACATGCTGTAAAACTTTTGTCGATATGAGGCTGCAACCAATCAGCAACAGCTGTTGATCAGTGTATTCTGACAACGGTGGGTCCGGCTGTCAGAATACAATGTCTCAGCGGGAGGATTCCTCTATTCACCTCATTTGCATGGATGGAAGAAGCTATTAGGTTTTTTTTGTTTGTTTACCTACTAGCTGAGTGAAAAAAAATCACCCATCTACGGCCATCTTTAGCATGAAGTGCAAGCCACTATAACACTGACTCTCTTAATAAAGGTCCCTTTTGCACTCCACAATGGTAAGGACAGAAAAAGGGAGGTCATACTGTATAGGTCAGTGTTGTGGGTAGCATTCAGAACATTTGGCACTGAAGAATCAGATACCTACAAGATAAAGCAGTAGTAGGAACTGATCTCTGTTAATTTTATGGGCCATGAGATCCCTTAGGAGAGGGACAGAGTTGAGAAAAAAAGTCAAGCAGCAACCAGAGTATAATCATCTCTGATTGATTCCCAAGTGTAAGGTGCTATCAGAGGAATCAGAGATTCCAAAGTGTGGGAAACCCCAAACACACCTAGGATAAAGCACAGTGGGATGCATTAATACCAGAAATGGCAGCTAAATTGAAGTGTATGATTCAAGGCTCAAGAGTAGAACAACAAGAGGAACCCTAAGCATCCACAATGTGAGGAAGTAAACCAGCTAGATGAGCAGATAGTCCCTTGCCTACAAAAATTAGGGTGTACCTTTACACCGAGAGCTGAGCAGATGAGATATAAGATTCTGGTCTTGAGATCTGCAGCTTGAGTTGGAGGTAGACTGTGATTGTCCATGAGGTACCATTGTATTAGCAAATGGTGTTCCATTACCCCATCCCATTATTTCCTGAGATGTTCTGATGTTGCTACTGTACTGCTCACTGTTCTCTGAAGGGGTCCTCAAAAAGCTATACTGTAGCATCTGCAGTTCAATGCTCTGCTTGTTTACACAAAATTTATTCTTTTGATATGTACTTCCCTCTTCTTGCTTGTTCACCCACCATCCATCAGGAGAGTAGCTCTATCATGGGGAAGCAAGCCCTGCCGGTACCAAGATGGCCACCTCCACACACAGACACAGTGTGGAAAAAGACACGGTGGGGTTGATTTACTACTGACAAAGTGATTATGTACTCTGCAAGTGCAGTTGCTCCTGAGATTAGTAGATGAGGTAAAGCTTCACTTTTCAAAGAATACCCACCCAATCATTTGCTTACACATGGTTGGCTGTTGGAAGCCAGTAACGCTTCCCCTCATTTACTAAGCTATAGAGCAAGTCCCTTTGTCATTAGTAAATGTACCCCAGTAAGTCAGTGAAAAGGAACAGATCAACTGTAGAAAGGCAGGACTGGATTCTAAGTATTTTTCCTTTGCTTTCTCTTTCAAATAGAACATCTGAGCAGAAGCATGTTGTGAGTGTGGTATTCATTATCTGCTTCAGGTATTGCTAGCAGCACATACTGTACTTGCACCTGCACCTTGCATTTATGGATTTCTGCTGTGGACTTTACACAATTTTAAGAGGGCATGATATATCATATGAGTGTTTAGGCACAGTGGGGTTTATTTACTAAAACTGGAGAGTGCAAAATCTGGTGCAACTATGTATAGAAACCAATCAGCTTCCAGATTTAATTGATTGCAAAAGCTTAAAGGATAAGTTCACCTTTTGGACAAAAATAATAAATGCACATTTTTTGCAGGTAAAAAATGTGCATTTATTATGTTTGTCTACAGGAGCTTGGAATGCACTGCACCAGCAATCAGTAGATCGCTGATGCCATGCAGGTCTCCTGCAGACCTGGCAGAATATCTGCTAGCCATATGGGATGTACGGTCAAGCAGATATTCTGACAGGAAGCTTGAATGAACTACCACGGCGCTCCACAGCACCATGGTAGTTTATTGAAAACTACAAACCCACAGCTGCTAAGGCTGCTGGGACTTGTAGGCACTCATTCACAGAACTCTGTGAATGAGTGACATGGCTGTGCGGGCGGAGTTCCCCCATGATATCTGTCAAAGGGAGGGGGGGTGCAGTGGACGCTGCTGCGGTTAAGGGAACATGTTACATGTTACACCCTAAAAACAGGTGTATCATGCTCCAAAGGTGAATTTACCCTTTAACAGAACAAACTGAAGTTAGAAGCTGATTGGCTGCCATGCACAGCTGCACATGATTCTGAGTGCACCTGTTTTAGTAAATATATTCCAAAGTATTTTTAACTATTATTAGCAGGCTTTTACAAATACATATTATATGCAAGAAGTACTACATAAAGAGAATAGTTATCATTTAGGAATTAGGCCTACCATTGGACCCATTTGAATGCTAAGTCTTTCTGTTCCAGATGAAAATACAGAAGACGTGTGATGCTTGTATGGTTCTTCATTTCGGTCTTTCACCTATGATAACAAAAAGAAAATGCATGAAAAAGTGTAATAAAAAAAGATGCAGACATTGCCACTTAGGTTGGGGTAAGGTATGTCAAAAGGAAAACTTTGCTTAAAATATTGGAATGCACTAAAGTGCATTTTTAAAAGAAGTAAGTATTTGCTTGTCATCGCTAGCATTGCCAATTTTAGTAAACAAAGGGTTATTCCTTATTCAGAAAGGCAACATTGTACTCCATTGTACTAGAGCAGATAGGCTACAACTGGTTACATTGATAATTGCATTACTTCCCAAGCCTTCCTAGAAACCATCCTTATCTTCCATCAATGACCACTAGCAAACAATTGAGAACTTTTTGTATCTGTGTTGAAAATAGCAGATCTTCCACATTCTCCACATTTGGCAGAAATGTAGAAAAAAAAAATAATTTGGATGGTTCTACCCACGTATTACTTATTCCATGTGTAAATGTGTGTGTTTTATATAATACAAATGTATAAATCTGGACCTAAAAGATTGATGATTAACACAATACAAGACTCTACTAACGCTAAAAAGAACTGGGAAACGCATTATTAAAATGTAAAAAAATATCAGTAAACTAATCTTTTCTAAAAGTACAGAGTACCTGAGTAGGGATGAGGGGATCTGCTTGAGTTCTATTTGCCAAGGGTTCGGCAAAACCTGTTTGAAATTTAGAGAACCCATTGAGGTCTATTGGAGGTAAATCTTGTTGCTAAATTCTGGACATTTTATGACATTTTATGACTAATAAGAAACGATTGTCAAAAAAGTTAGAAAAATAGCATACAGAGGGGAGACATTGGAAATACACAAATCTTTTAAATTGCATGCGTGAGGCATGCCTTACAGCTGTATGTGGTGTCCAAGAACAGTACAATTTACATGGACAGCTTCAGTGATGGCATAAACTCGCAGAGTATGTTTGGTTGTAAGTCTGATGTTTTTCTTTTACAGTTAGCTTGGCTTACATATGGCAGTAGCACCCCAAGGGGAAAGGTCACCTTAAGACATGGTAGCCTCTAGGGAAAACTTTCATGAGTAGGTCCCTCATCTTTTTAATGTACAATACAGCACATCATGCAAAGAAAGATGTTCTGGAGTATGTAGTGTATTGACAGTGGTGGTCAGGAGTATGCAATGTAAAGCACAGCATACAAAGTTGGGTGGTCAGGAGTATGTAATTTTTTAATGTTTGAAGCATCTGAAATAACATACCAACATAACGAATTATCTGAATTGATTCAGATCCTTTTTTTATTCGGATGACAACAGCTTGGTAGTGTAACGGAAGCGTAGGCAGGACAGAACACACAAAGAATATGGGGAACACACAAAGCTTTATTGAACTCTGAAAGACACTCAATCAGGACAGTTCATGGCACTCTGCGACATGCGGCTTGTAGGGACACCCACGGTAAGCGGGCTCACGGGGACTCAACAGGACCTTGGCTGTGGAGTCTGGCTTCAACACAGCTCCCACACCACGTACTAGGGACAACAGGCTCACGGGGACCCAATGGGCCTTTGGCTGTGGAGTCTGACCTCAACACAGCATACTAGGGACAACAGGCTCACGGGGATCAAACGGAACTTTGGCTGGGGAGTCTGGCCTCAACACAGCTCCCACACAGCATACTAGGGACAACGGGCTCACGGGAACCCAACGGGACTTTGGCTGTGGAGTCTGGCCTAAACGCAGCTCCCACACAGCATACTAGGGACAATGGGCTCACGGGGACCCAATGGGACTTTGGCTGGGGAGTCTGGCCTCAACACAGCTCCCATACAGCATACTAGGGACAACAGGCTCACGGGAACTCAACGGGACTTTGGCTGTGGAGTCTAGCCTCAACACAGCTTCCACACAGCATACTAGGGACAACGGGCTCACGGGGACCCAACGGGACTTTGGCTGTGGAGTCTAGCCTCAACACAGCTCCCACACATCATACTAGGGACAACAGGCCTCACGGGGACCCAACGGGACTTTGGCTGTGGAGTCTGGCCTCAACGCAGCTCCCAAACAGCATACTAGGGACAACAGGCTCACGGGGACCCAACGGGACTTTGGCTGGGGAGTCTGGCCTCAACACAGCTCCCACACAGCATACTAGGGACAACAGGCTCACGGGGACCCAAGGGACTTTGGATGTGAAGCCTGGCTTCAATGCAGCTCCCACACTGCGTACTAGGGACAACATGCTCACGGGAACCCAACAGGACTTTGGCTGTTGAGTCTGGCCTCAACACAGCATACTAGGGACAACAAGCTCACAGGGACCCAACTGGACTTTGGCTGGGGAGTCTGGCCTCGACACAGCATACTAGGGACAATTCAGGACACGGGTGGTCTGAGCGTGCAATAGGGACAGTTCATGACACGGGTGGTCGGAGTGCACCATAGGGACAGTTCAGGACACGGGTGGTTTGGGCGCACAATAGGGACAGTCCTTGACACGAGTGGTCTGAGCGCACCATAGGGACAGTTCAGGACATGGGTGGTTTGTGCGCACACTAGAGACAGTTCATGACACGGGTGGTCTGTGCGCACCATAGAGACAGTTTAGGACACGGGTGGTTTGATCGCACACTAGGGACAGTTCATGACACGGGTGGTCTGTGCGCACACTAGGGACAGTTCAGGCAAAACAGGGGAAGCATACACTCACGGATCCGACAGGGTGCGGTCTCCTCCTTGGATGGGGTCTCGAGCAGAGCTGGCATGTGGTCTCCCCCTAGGCTGGGGTCTCAGGCAGAGATGGCGTGCGGTCTCCCCTTTGGCTGGGGTCTCAGGCAGAGGTGGCATGCAGTCTCCCCTTTGGCTGAGGTCTCAGGCAGAGCTGGCATGCGGACTCCCCTTTGGCTGGGACCTCGGGCAGAGCTGGCGTGCGGTCTCCCCCTTGGCTGGGGTCTCAGGCAGAGGTTGTTTGCAGTCTCCCCCTTGGCTGGGGTCTCAGGCAGAGCTGGCATGCGGCCTCCCCCTTGGCTGGGGTCTCAGGCAGAGCTTGTGTGCAGTCTACCCCGTGGCTGGGGTCTCAGGCAGAGCTGGCATGCCGCCTCCCCCTTGGCTGGGGTCTCAGGCAGAGCTGGCATCGGGGATGGCTGAGGAGGCTCCCAACCTGGGGTAATCAGCAGCTTCCAAGGAGGTGATTCCAGCAGCGTGCACAGGGACAAAGAGACCGGCCTGGTCCCGCACCGGCCTTTTAAAGCCGTGCGGGACGCTTCCAGGTTGCCTCGGCAACGGCCGGCCCAGCACAGCATTGCCGGGGCAACGAGGCACGCCCCCCTCACTCCAGGAGTGTGGCCTTTGTCTCCAGCAGCTTTTCCAGAGGAGAGGTGCTAACCGCACCACAGGGGGCGTTTTCCTCCCATCCTGCACAGCCCTGGCAGGACGGAGGGATCTGCAAGGGGGGAGGGAGGGGTGGAGGCATACGGCAGGGGGACAGCAGGCAAAGGGGGGTGGGGAAGGCACGGGCACTCCGTGACAGGTAGTCTTTGACTCTTGGATAACCAAGTGATTCTTTTTGCATTAACATTTTTCATTCTAAAAAATGCACTACATATGAAATTGAAACATTCTGAAATCAATACAGTAAGGTATAAAAGTGAAAAAAAATGATTCCTACTTATTGTGTTTGGGTTGGATGGAGGTGGGTCCATCAGCATTTCTGAATCATAACATAACGAATGAATCCGAAATTAATTTTGCTCCATTTGGATGCACGCAACTCCAGTTGATATCTTCCAGTCAGCTCATTCCATTACTATTTGTGGGTTGGACTAGCATGGATGACTCAAAGGGGTTGATTTACTAAAACTGGAGCGTGCAAAATTTGGTGTAGCTGTTCATGATAGCCAATCAGCATCTAACTTCAACTTGTTCAGTTAACAGCTTCCCGACCACCCTATAGCAGAAATACTGCTACAGGTTGGAAGGGCTGCACAAAATCACATATATATATATATATATATATATATATATATATATATATATGTGTGTGTGATTTTGTATTTCCGGGTAGGGGGCATGTGCGCACAACGCCCTACTCGCACCGCCATTGGTGGCTAAAGCTGTCGATCACCAGGTCCCGGACGGAGATTCCCCACCAGCACCTGGCGATTACTGAGGAAAACTGACAGGGGAGAGGTCTGTATGCAAACAATACAGATCTCTCCCCTGTCAGCACCAGCATGCTGCTTTATATACAAAGCAGCATGCTTACATAGTAAAGCACACACAGACAACACAGTAAAACAGCACACAGCACACACTTAACCCTTTGATTGCCCCAGATGTTAACCCCTTACTGCCCAGTATCATTAGTACAGTGTTAGTGCTTTTTATTAGCACTGATCATTGTATTAGTGTCAATAGGGATGTCAGTGGCAGTTAGTCAGTTCCCCCAGTGTCAGAATGCCCACCACAGTCCCGCTATAAGTCACTGATCGCCACCATTACTAGTATAAAGGAAAATAAAAAAAAAAATCCCAGTATATATACACTGACATTTGTAAACGCTATAACTTTCATTTAAACCAATTCATTTATATGTATTGGGATTTATTTTTAGCAAAGAAATGTAGCAGAGTACATTTTTGCATAAATGTGTGATGAAATTTGATTTTAAAATTTTTTTTACTGGATATATTGTATAGCAAAAAGTCAAAAATATATATTTTTTATTAAATTGTCTTTTTTTGTTTATAGCGCAAAAAATAAAAACGCAGAGCCGATCAACTACCACCGAAAGAAAGCTCCATTTGTGGGAAAAAAGGACTTACATTTCATTTGGGTGAAGCGTTGCATGACCGCGCAATTGTCAGTTAAAGTAACAGCATATCGTAAAAAATGGCCTGGTCAGGGAGGGGGTAAATCCCCTGAAGGGCAAGTGGTTAAGCTTTGATAAAAAAAAACCTGGAAGCTGATTGGTTTTAGAGTGTATAAGTAATAACAAATTAACACATTAAAATGAATATAGCCAACCTTCTGAAATAACTTCTGAAAATATTAATCAATCCGGAACGATGAATATACAAAACTAATCCGAACATACAAAACAAATTCCAAAAACAAATCATTCTAACATAACGAATATGACAAAACAAAAAGATTTACTTAAGGACTAAATCCAAAGTGAAACAAATGTTCCCATTGTGCAGATCTCTAGTGAAAACACGGACTGGGGTGTTTTGGAGTATACAGTTTACAGTACAAGGTACACAGTTGAGTGGTGAGAAATATTTAATGTGCAGTACAAGATGCACAGTGTAGAGGTCAGGAATATGTACAACACAACATACAGAAAGGAGCGGTTTAGGAGTTTGTAATGTACAGTGTAGTGAACAGGATCTGGTGGTCAGGAGTATATGATGGAGGGGTCAGGCGTATATGAAATATACAACACATTGGGATGAGTGAGTTGGGTCTTCTGGAATATGTAATAAAGTGTAAAAAAAAGGTCTTTTGTTTCTAATGTAAAGCACAATGACAGAATGGTGTATGTATTGGACAGCATTGTACATGACATAAGCAGTGCACACAAGATCATTAGCTTCACAGTTACAGCAAAGTCCCCATCCTGCTCGACCATCGGCACCATGTGCTTCAGCTCAGCTAGGTATGTCAGCTCAGCTAAGTGCGTCACTTCCGGTAATGACGGTCCTATGGAAGTGGTGAACATGCCCAACAGCCGCAATGCATAACTAAAGCCTGAGACTTTGCGGTCACCTGACAGGCGTATTTTTTATGCAAAATAAGGTAGAAAAAAGCATATTTTTAATCTTTAAACTATACAGATGTAATAATATTGTGGCTTCTGATTGTACGGAAGTGAATTAAAGGAAAGCCTTTCCTTCCACTTTAATAGCAAAATCATTAACAGTTCTTTAATGAAAGCTGCATAGTTATATTGAATGAAAAACAACATCTGGAATTATATTAACAGGTTAAGGCTTATATGAGATTTAGCGATTACATTTGGATATCCTTTAATAAATGGATTTCAGTAGGATGAAAATTAATATTTCTGCTGTACATGCAATGCCATTTTATTAAAAAAATATCAGATTCTGCTGCATTCAAACTACATGACTTACGATAATGTATTCTTTGCATCAGTCCTATCTCTTTTAGTTCAAATACATCTTTACTATAAGGACTCTATCCACACCTGTAATATGATTTCTCTTTATGTGCATTTTTTAGTAATTGAAACATGTTAGTTCTTTAAGGAAGAAAGGTAGGTATATCTGCAAAAGGAATCAAATTTTTATGAAAATTTCATTTGCAGTCTCTGTTTTGACAAGTCACTTAGGGGATTACCTTTGAATCCTTAAATGTGATACATGTATTGCTTCTAAACCTGGTTTTGATCACACATCTAAACAAAATACCGTAACTTTCTCATGCCAATATCACTCATTATCTAACTATTATTGTTCTCGCTTGGGCAGCAATCAAGCTTAGGGTATGCAGACTTCAGACCCATGTGGATAATACAGTCAAAATAATGTAAAACAGGGTTTTCATAGTTTAATAAAGCATCTTTTATACAATAAGATATACATATTATATGTTTATCCTTTGTGCAATGAGTTGAATTCACTTACAGATCTCTCCAAATGAATTCTCATATTGTAATTTATACAGGGGGTTTTTTTCTTGATTTTTTTGCGATTGTCAATGTCCATTAAAGTTCCTTTACACATCTTAATGTATGCATTATGAAATATCAGAACTCCAGTTATAAAAGTTTAGATTTGTGTGCAATTAGGTTGCACTTTTTTTTTATTTTGGATTTAAATAGAATAGGGAACAGCTAGAATTTCTGTCAGGTTTTTATTGCTATATCTCTATTTATGCTGAGGAGAATTCTCCTCTCTATTGGTCCTGGTGATAATTGCCATTGGGACAGAAAGTGGTGGGAAATCCAAAACTTTATAATATATAAATAAATACATTTATATAATTGGGACACCCATTCTGGTGACAATTACTTCTCTTTGGGGGGATTTCTACTCATTTCCTGTTATATCTCTTCAATGAGACACAAAAAAAAGGGGGGGGGGGGGGGTAAACATTTTCTTACGTTAATACATGTTTATGTTTTATCTGTAAATACACTTTAAATCCAAAAATTACACTTTAAGTCTCAAAAAGATGCTTCTACCTAGGGGACCTTGTTTCTAGTTAAGATACTGTGTGTTTCCGTGAGCTTCATGCAAATAAAAAAGACACAAACAATTGTATCTCTGTATTCATTCAACAAGTCATTAGGACTGGGACCCGAGTTAATGGCACTTAAAAAATTATTAATACATATTTAAATGTATTTTTTTAAACCCCAGCTCTGGAACTTTTGGAATTTGACATAAACCCATAAAGTCAAAATTTGTAGCACAGACAAGGATGAGGCATCTGCAACTGCTTGTGTTTGCCTTGACATGTAATGGAAATGATCTCTGTGTTGACTCAATTCTTAGAAATATCTTCTTTTAGCTTTCAAGATAAATAAGCTATAGTTCTTTCAAAAGTTTTTCTGCTATATTTATCTATGGATTTTCCCAGAGTGGGCAGTCAATCAAACTTACTACATAGTGACTGGGTCCTGGAGTCCACACTGCATCGCTGTTGGAGATGGACAAGGCACGTACTGCAGAAGATCCAAATGCTCCTCCCCTTTTTGAGCACTCCAAATTTGCTCTCTTTAGACTTTCACTTGCAATGCCTTCACTAAATATGTTGTAAGTGCCTGGCCCTAAAAAAAAAAAAAAAAATAATAATAATTTAAAATTTCTTTTATTAGTATTAAGATCAATATTATTGTTTCTGCAGCAACATTAGACAACCTGCCATGAGAGTAATACATGCTGTGGAAAATAAATATGAATGATATATTGCAATGTGGCATATAAATAAATTTTAATAAAATGTAAACAGTGCACTTTACATGCAAAAGGCACCACCGGCCAGAATGGCAGCCACAATAGACACTTTGAGCATGGTAAAATGCAGTGTTTAATCTTGCACAAAGTATGAACAAGCCTATGCTTTTCAATGGGATTTATTTGCTGCAAGCCGGTTTTGCAATTCTATACCAGTCAATAGGAATGCAAAACCCACTTGAAGCAGGTCAACTGCAGGTCAAATACACCTATAAATAGATTCTAAATTATCTTAGAAGCATCTTAAACAGATGATATCAACAAGCAAGCCCAAAGCCCATTGACACATACCTTAAAGTGGTTGTAAAGGCTCAAGGTTTTTATCTTCATGCATTCTGCCCCCCCCAATACTTACCTGAGTCCAACCCAAATCCAGCAATGTGCACGAGAGACTCAGCTCTCCAGAGACTCTCCCTCCTCATTGGTTGAGACAGTTTGCAGGAGCCATTGGCCACTGGCTCCACTGCTGTCAATTGCATCCAGTGAGCCAATAAGGAGAGGGGGCAGAGCAGAGCCGCGGCTCTGTGTGTGAATGGACACACAGATAAGTGGCTCAGGAGTGAGCCTGCTTGAGTGCCTCCATAGCAAGCTGCTTGTTCAGGGGGCACTAGCCAGAAGCACCAGTGAGGGACCCAAGAAAAGCAGCATCAGGGCTACTCTGTGCAAAACCACTGCACAGAGCAGGTAGGTATAACATTTTGTTTTTGGTCAATGGGTTTCATTGCCTTTAATATTACTTTAAGAGTGCTGTTTGTAAGGTCATATTTACAGGCTGCATACTTTTTCCAGATCACAAAAACCAATGTATCAGCATTATTGCTGGACGGCTAGCATTTTGTGAAGTGGGGCAGTAATGACAATACAACTTTTAATACTTTGTAGAAAAAACTAAGCTAGATATGGTCTATTTTGTCAAATGCTATTTGGGGACTGACTCTCCTGTTTGAGACCATCAGTTTCTTTAGGACTGAACACTGTGTAATCCATCCAAAACTGAGCAATCAATATTGGATGGGGTTACAGTTTAGGGTTCTTCCAGCAAATAAAAACAGTAGAAAAGGAGATGCAAAGGACCTAAAAGAGTCATTATTTGTCCATCATAGAAATATCGGAGAGGGAAAGACAGTGTTATTTTAAATAGAATATAATGTTCTTGTAGAGAGGCTTAAAAAAAGCAGAATACAATTATGAAATATCCAATACAGCCTATTTATACTTGTGCACTTCAGGCAAGCTTTATTGCAACTACAACTACACTCTAAACACATGGAGAGTTCTGTACCCGGATTTTGTTAATGTGTTTGCACCAGGGGTGGACTGACAACTCATGGGGCCCCCGGGCAATAGGAAATCATGGGACCCCTGTGTCCTCACCCACACACAAACCACACAAAGCGTATGAAAGGTATCAGGGGCATCTCATGGGGCCCCCTACTAACCCCAGACCCTCGGATAGTGCATGAGTGCCTAAATGGTCAGTTCACCCCTGGTTTACACATGATCCACTAAAAAGTCCCCCTTGCTGCAGTTTACTTGCTATTTTCCATAGGAATAAAATATATATTTCTATTTTGTGCATTTATACAGTGGTGGAATAATATCATTCCATGTTCTCTAAAGGAAATAACAACTTGAAATCCTTACCACACAAATATACACACTAAGGCATATTTGTAAAGGAGTAAACCAGCCTACCAGTATGTGTTGGGACCCACCACAGCACCTGGAGGAAACCCTTGTAACACAGGGAGAACATACAAACTCCATACAGATAGTATCCTAGGTGAGATCCAAAACTTTGGACCAAGAGCTGCAAAGCAAAATGCTAACCATGCTGCACTTAATTTGTGTTATAGCACATGCCACTGCTAAGTAAATGAATGCAGTGCCCTTACAATATGTACAACACATAAAGAAAATACGTGTTAATATGTGATCAATATGCATAAAAACCATAATACACGCTGTAGCACATTGCATGTGTATTTTAAGTAGATATATGTTAATAGGCCCCCAGTCCTGTTCCCAGTTTAATTGCTTACCTGGTGATTTCTGCAATCTTGAGTCTTGTATAAAGCGCACTGACTTATAACCGAATGGTATTTGTGCCATGCTTGATGTTTTCTTCAAAGACTCAAATGCTGTTCGCTGTTCATTATAGGCACCTGGGGCTGGGGTGATTGATTTCACAGGTAGAAATCGCTAGTGTAGCACACAAGAAAATTATATTAAATATTCTGAAATTACTGGCAGCTGCATAGGCTGTAAAATGTTTAGTGACTTGAATTAATTTGAGCTTATCCAAAAAACGATAGAACACTCTTAAAGCAAACCTGTGTCAAGACCATTGAAACACAGAAGCTTCCCCAGTGTTAGTGATTGTACATAAGGATAACATTGCACAGCTCCAGATTCTCTTCTCTGGGAACTCTGCATACTACTGTAACAAATTGGGGTAAATTTAACAAAAGTAAACAGACTGTTCATTTTATAAGGGAAGTTGCACTTTGCAAAGCTGTCCATGCATTTGGGTGATCTTTGCAAAGTGAATTTCACCGCATTCACTAAGCTTTGGGGCAAATTCCCTTGCAAAGTAAACAGCCAATTTGTATTTAGTAATTGAACCCTAGTGACCAGGGCCGGTGCTTCCACTAGGCAAACTAGGCGTCTGCCTAGGGCGCACTGCCACTTAGGAGTGTCAGGGCACAGCACAGGCTGACACTCTCTCTGTGTGTGACACCGCCACATCATGAATGATCCTCCAACTGAGAGGAGGGGTGGCAGAGGGGAAGAAGAAAGGACAGAGGAAGATGCCCGGAGTCTGGGGCCAGTGTAGCTGCTGAGCTTCTAGTGTTCCTCTCAGATGCAGTCCTTTACTGCAAGCTAGCTGGTGGCTGCTGATCACTGTGGAGTTCCAGCTCTTCTCTTCCCATTCATCAGCAGAGGCGGAGCTGCGCCTGCAGAGGAAGGTAATGTCTGATGTCTTGTATCTGTGTGAGTGTGACCCGGTCAGCCATCCATCACATGTGCAATGTGTCAGTGAGTGATGAAATCATCACGATCCCAAAGTGCTTTTCTAGTGCCTGCTGGGCCTGCTGATCTGTGTCTGTGTTGATGGTGGTCTGTTGTGTTGGATCTGTCACTGTGTAGGACTGCTCAGTTCAGGTGTTCTCTGTGTGTGTGGGCTGGGCTGCCTGCTGTCACAGCGTTTTATCTCCCCCCATTGCCTGGGGAATTCCAGCCTGTGATCTGTCAGAGTGTGGATCCATCATCCTCCACTCACTGCAGCTGTCACTCCGCCACTGCCAGCCACAGACACAGTCCATCCATGACACTGATCTAGTCTTTAATATTGCTGTTGGTGGCATCTTATGGCTCTTATTTTTGCAAATTAAAAGAAATTTAGCAGTTTCATGTTTTTTTGATTTAATATTTCCTGCTGTTTTAAAAATATTTTAATTTATTTATCTTTTGTTTTGGGGGGGGGGGCCTAAGTAGCTGGTCTAGCACCGATCCTGCCATTGACTCATGTTGGATTGCTCTGAGAGATCTAACCTTGGTGTATCATAACAAACCAGTAGGCACACTGCAGGTACTAATCAACGTACATGTTGGCAGCATCTCTATAATTTACATAGGTTGTCAGGGAGTTTGCAGGAGATTAGAAAAATGCTATGAAGAAATTTTAAAGGGACATAATTAAAAACTAACTAGGAAATAGCTTAGCATGAGCTCTAGAAAGACTCTTGGTGGCACTGAACAATCATGGCAGTTTATATCTGCTAAACATGAAATACAAAAAATGGAGTCTGCAAAAGAATTACCTTAATTACCATATGCAGACATATTTAATTTAAATTCTGTATCGATGCTGTCACCCACACAGTTCAATGTACAAAACTAAATTTTAATTATTTTAAAAATACATATATAATTTTATTTTTATCTCAGAGTCCTAGCAACAACATTTTGCAAGTCTGTGTTTTGCTGCTTTTAAATATTATCTAAATTAGTGCTTTGAATATTGAATACATTAAGCAAGGCAAAAAAAATGTCTATATATCATTATATTCATTATATAATTTTGGGGTACACAGCAAACTGTATTACTAATCATTAAAAAAAAAACATTTTAAAAGACAAACACTTTCTCCACCTTACATTTCCCACTGCGGGTTACTGTAGAATACCTGAACAGAGCCTGTATCTGATTGGATGTAGGCACTGTTCAGCCAACAATTTTCCACCCAGCTTTGACAAATTTGTTTGAAGCATCAACTTTTTTTGATTTGGGTGTTCCCAACGGAGTCACCGGTGGAGGAAATTTGTTCCAATTTAGTAGCAATTGGCTGTAATTTGATGTGTGTCAGACAGCTTTACTTTCATTTTCTTCATACAGAGGTGCACGGTATGACTACACAGACCAACCAGCATCAGAGTTAGACCTGGTGCACTCAGTAATCAGAGTTGAGAACAGAACAGTTACCCAGATATGAAGCCATTCTGATGACTTGAACTTGGCAAAGTGTCTAGGGATATTGTGTTTCACACTACCTTCCTCCCCAAACCTTCCATGTTTCCGAAACCTCATACAGACCATTCTAATAACACAAACTCTATTTACACCAACTGGTTCATAGGTGGCCTTGATCAGACCCTTTCCCAAATCCCAAACAATAGATTTTGTGAAAATATGAGCTAGGTAAAGTGTATGAATCAAACATCTGTTCTGCAGCACCCTAAAATCCATTTCATGATCTTAAATAAGAATTCCGCCATAAGTTTAAAAATTC